GGCACTCGGCCACGGAGCTGTCGCTGGTGACATCGAGGCGCAGAATCCTCAGGGTGTCCCCAAGGGTGGCCCCGGCCGCCTCCTCCAGCGGCCCCCGGCGCGACAGGTCCCGCATGGTGGCCAGGACTGAGCCCAGAAATCACTCAGGGGTCCCAAAAATTCATCAGGGGTCCCAAAAAAACCCGAAAAACTCATCAGGGGTCCCAAAAAACCCCATTAGAGACCCCCCCCCCCAAACTGGCTGCGACAGGTCCCGCATGGTGGCCAGGACTGAGCCCAGAAATCACTCAGGGGTCCCAAAAATCCCATCAGGGGTCCCAAAAATCCATCAGGGATCCCAAAAAAAACCCCAAAACCCGGCGGGGATCCCAAAAAACCCCATTAGAGACCCCCCCCCCTCCCAAACTCGCAGCGACAGGTCCCGCATGGTGGCCAGGACTGAGCCCAGAAATCACTCAGGGGTCCCAAAAATCCCATCAGGGGTCCCAAAAATCCATCTGGGGTCCCAAAAAAAACCCCCAAAACCCGGCGGGGATCCCAAAAATCCATCCGGGATCCCCAAATCCCATCGGGGATCCCAAAATCCCGAGGTGTTGGGGACAATCCCGGCGTGTCCTTCCCCTTCCCTCCTGGGATATCCCGCGTCCCCTCCCGCCTTGGGGACACTTGGGGACCCCCCCTGACCCCTCTGGGGACCCCCCTGACCCCTTTTGATACCCCCACCCGACCTTGGGGACACTTGGGGACCCCCCTGACCCCTCTGGGGACACCCCCCTGACCTCGGTGACATTTGGGGACCCCTCCCCGACCCCTCTGGGTCCCCCCCCGGCCCCCGTGGGGACCCCCCCTCACCCAGGTATCGTTTTTGGGGGTCCCTGGCGAGCCGCACGGCCAGGGCCAGCCCGATGCCCGAGGAGCAGCCGGTGACAAGGACAGTCCGGGCCGGGGGGGCGGCCATGGTGTCACCTCCCCCCCCCACAACACCACCGGGAAAAGGCTCTTAACGGGATCAGCGGGCACGTGACCCCGGGAGCGGGGCCAGCCCCGGGATCAGAGCCGGGATCAGAGCCGGGATCAGCCCCGGGACCGGGGAGGGCGGGGGGATCCGGGGGAACACCCCGGGATCGGGGGGAGCACCCCGGGAGCGGGGCCAGCGCCGGGATCAGCCCCGGGATCAGCCCCGGGATCAGCCCCGGGACCGGGGGGAGAGGGGGACACACCGGGATCGGGGCCAGAGCCGGGATCAGAGCCGGGACCGGGGTCAGACCCGGGGTCAGCATCGGGATCGAAGGGGGAACATCCCGGGATCGGGGGG